TCTTCTCCTTCCCCATTTCGTCCCTTCTTGTCTTTCTTCTCAGTCGCTTGGAGCATTTGTTCCTTGTTCATGTCCTGGAGAACTTCGACAGTGTGCATGATTTGACGCTCTATTGTAGCAAGTTGTGAGTGTGTACTGGTGTCTGTCTTTTCCAATCCTCTGATAGAAACGAAAGAGGGCAGTATCTTATACTTAGAAGTCTTTATTTAAAAAAGCCTGCGTACATACGACAACAGCATTGAAATAATTTATAACCTTGCCGTCCTCAGCAAGATAAACCGCCCCCACCCCCACCACCAACTTTAAAAAAATCAAACGAAACAAAGTAAATACCCCCCCCCACCAAAAAACACACATCCAAAAACAAACAAAAACCCCAACAAAAACAGCAACAACAAAACAGCAAAAACAACAACAACAACAACAACAACAACAACAACAACAACAAAAGCCCTCACGTTTACCCCTCAAACTTCATATGGGTTCAAGATGTTATTGCAAAGTTCTCAAACGCGGCAATGACAAACTGTGTAACAATTAAGCTTGTTGATGAAAGGAAAGTATTAGTGCTCTGTAAATCGTTCTTTAAACAGCCGATGTTTTGTATGAGAGTGGCAAGCATGGCAGGTCAGTCATTTCCACTTGTGTTCAAACTGCAATTTGCCAGACTGCGACTGGAAAGTAAACTTGCACACTTTGGCACATGCACACATAAATAACACACACTCATAATATTCATACAGTAACAAGTATGCAAGCACAGACACACACACAGAGTTACGAGGGCTGTCCCACGGAAAACCGGAATTTGGCTGTAATTTGAAAACTATTCAATATTTTGACATTCTGTAAACGCACACTTGTAAATTAATCATTTAGAAATTTCCCGATTGAGCACCATGAGCATCGCACAAACCAAACGAGCACAACAGTTCTCCAAAGATGGCTACCCCCTTGGAAAATTGGTCAAGGGTAGAAGTGAGGTCTGTCATTCGGTTTCTGACCGCAAAAGGTCTCAAACCTCTAGAAATACACACTGAAATAAAGTCAGTTTATGGGGAGAAAGTAATGGCAAAGTCACAGGTATATGAGTGATGTAGTAAGTTCAAAGCCGAGCACTCCGATATCAATGACAAAGTTTACCCAGGATCTTGTTTTTCTGCCAAGACTTGAGGACAACAAGAGTCGCGTTAACGAACTTATTCAAACAGACAGGCGCCTAAAAATTCGCGAAATTTGCGAGTCGCTAAACATTTCAAAGCCGACTTTCTATAGGATATAGTTTGATGAGCTGCACTATTGAAAGGTCTCTGCTTGATGGGTTGGGGCCGAAAAAGACCAGCGGGGTCATTTTGCAGCATGGCAACACAACGCCACACACCGCAAACGTCACGAAAGACTGGTTCCAAAGGTTCGGCTAGGAAGTTCTACTACACCCCTCTCACAGTCCTGACTTGGCCCTGTCAGATTATCACCTTTTTGAACCAATGAAACGCCATATTTCTGGACAGCGATTCACCGACGACGAAGACCTCGTGGAAGCCGTGAACGATTGGTTGAAATCCCTTGACGAAAGATTCTTCAGGGAGGGTATCTTCTCCCAGATCCAGCGATGGGAAAAATGTGTCCAGCGGGATGGTGATTACATTGAGAAATAAAGCACATGTTGAGGTATGATGTCTTACAGTTTTATTATAATAGGACAAAGATTTTTGCTTTTACGGACCTTTTCCAGTTTTCCGTGGGACAGCCCTCGTATATACAAAAACAACAACAACAACAACAACAACAACAACAACAACAACAACAACAACAACAATAACAAGGTAAGTAGCAATAACAGCAACAACAACTTTCATCCCTAAAAACAAAAGCAACATCCTCCTCCTCCTCCTCCTCCTCCTCCCCCTCCTCTTCCTTTTCCCCCTCCTCCTCCACGCCATCGTCACGATCATCAACACAAATAAAAACAGCAACAGCAAAAGCGCCACCACTACCAACAAAAGCATCTACCGATAATTCATGATGTTCTCGTAAAGATGGTAGACGCCGTTGCGAGCTCGGAAGAGGGCGATCGACGTGTTGGTGGCCGCATTGAGCATGTCATTCAGTTCATTTTCCAACCTAAGCACCTGGTGGACGGTTGTGTAACAAATGTAACCGATTGTATGCTTCTCGGGATGCCGAGAATGCTTCTGAGTGTTATTCTGCTGGGGTAATAGTAATAGTGTAAAGCTTGCTGTCGAGCGGGAGTATACGCTCTACAAATGCTATTTATTAGTAGGCCTTTTATTATACTTGTAAATGTATGTTTCCAGCCCTCGTCGACTAAATTCGGATCATGTTGGTGGAGATTGCTTTGATTTATGTCTATTTTACTCTTGTATTTATTACTCAGAGGGACTTAGTTTGAACTGATTCAGAGAGCATGGTTGTGCAGTGACTTTATCTGGTTTCAATTTGTCTTGATATCGTATTTTTTTGCCTCGCCCAGTGTGTCTTTGTTCGGTTCGATGTTCTTTGCTTTGCTTTCGTTGAAACTGAACGAGGAGAGAGAGAGAGAGAGAGAGAGAGAGAGAGAGAGAGAGAGAGAGAGAGAGAGAGAGAGAGAGAGAGAGAGAGAAGGGTGTAGGAGATGTAAAAGTTAATGGGAATGCTTGGGTCGATTAATGGTGGTGTGGGAATGTTTATACTGATGGGAGATGAATTTATAGATCCAGTTATCTAGAAAGAAAAAGCTAGATATATAGCTAGATGTCTAGTTAGCTACCTAGATACATAAATAGAAGATTGATAGACAGATAGCAATGAGTGAGATAAAGAGAGACAGAAAGAGAGACCGGGGGTGAGAAAGGGAAAAAGGATAAAAAAAGAAAATGGGCGAGAGAGACGGACAGAGAAACGGAGAGAGAGAGAGAGAGAGAGAGAGAGAGAGAGAGAGAGAGAGAGAAAGAGATAGAGAGAGAGAGAGAGAGAGAAGGGTGTAGGAGATGTAAAAGTTAATGGGAATGCTTGGGTCGATTAATGGTGGTGTGGGAATGTTTATACTGATGGGAGATGAATTTATAGATCCAGTTATCTAGAAAGAAAAAGCTAGATATATAGCTAGATGTCTAGTTAGCTACCTAGATACATAAATAGAAGATTGATAGACAGATAGCAATGAGTGAGAGAAAGAGAGACAGAAAGAGAGACCGGGGGTGAGAAAGGGAAAAAGGATAAAAAAAGAAAATGGGCGAGAGAGACGGACAGAGAAACGGAGAGAGAGAGAGAGAGAGAGAGAGAGAGAGAGAGAGAGATAGATAGATAGATAGATAGAGAGAGAAAGAGAGAGAGAGAGAGAGAGAGAGAGAGAGAGAGAGAGAGAGAGAGAGAGAGGGGGGCAAGAAAGAAAAACAGTGAGAGAAAGTGGGAGGAAAGGAGGGGAGCAGGCGGTGGTGGAGAGTAGATACCTCATTATGTTTCTCTTTTAAAGTGTCCTGCAGGGTCCCAATCTTGATATTGAACAACATTTGTTGTCTCCTTTCATCCCCTTGTATCTTCTGCAGTCTGTCATGCAGCGCATTCAGCACTGTCGCCTTTTCCTCGAAGTCTTTCAGCAGCTCCTGCAATGGTAGGACACATCTCTAGTCTTTTCTTAGCCTACTTTTGTTAATTGTTTAACTCTATAAGGACGTGCGGACACATACGGCCGGTCAGCAGCAAAGCAAAGACAATGTTTCGGCACATTTTGAACTGTCGTAAACAAAAGAGAAGCACGAGTTTGCATTTTTCAAAGCGTGCATGTTGTTGCATGGCTTTTAAAGTTTCAAATAAAGAATATAAAATCGAAACCTCTGTTTGTATAATGGAATTGTGCCCCCCCCCCCTCAAACATTTCCCTCATAAAATGTTGTCGAATGGCTAGAATGCACGCCTTCACAAAGTTGTCCAGTCTATTGTCAGTAAAATGGACACAGGTGTATCGTTAGCTCTGTGTTGGTACCACTTCGAGTTGGACTGCGGTGTGGGAACCTTTGGGCTAAATTCCTGGCGAGCAACTTGGGCTGTGAGGGACGTTTTCTTGGCTTGCCATTCAAAAGTGTCGAAGATGAACGCTCCGTCAGATTTCCTACCTCTTATCTTTTTATTAGGATGAAGCGGACACATAAAGTCCGACCAGCGGGAGACCAGAGTCAATGTTGCAGCACATTTCGAACAATCTTACACAAATCAAAATCACGAATTTGCCTATTTCATAGTATGCCTGTTGTTGCCAAAGTTTTAGGTAAAGAGAACAGAATTGAAAAATGTTGTATGAGTGGCGAAAGTAATAATAATGCTTATTTATAAAAGTGCCCCAGAACATCGCGCCTTCAGGGTTTGTCGAATGATCGCAATGCACGTTCTTATTGAGTTCAGTAACGTCACAGAGAGGGTGAACTGCTCTACCATCGAGTCAAATTAGAGCTCGCTGTGTCCTATCTGTGTGCAAAGCACAGGCAGTATTTCCTACTTGTGGTATAAAGCAGAGCGCCATTAGGGCCTATCCGCGTGTAAGGCACAGGCGTTATGGTATGTCCTACTTGTGGTACTAAGCAGAACGTTAGCCCTGTCATGTGCAAAGCCCAGGGTGATATACCTACCTGTTTTGTAAAGGAGAGAATAATTGAGTTATTGTATGAGTTTAATGCTCCTTTTAACTCTGTGAGGTTATTTAAGAGGCATAGCCTACGAATCTAACGTCTGTCTCTGATAGAACCATACCAGGTTGGTGAAGAACCTTGACTGATCCTCCCAAAAACCAACTCCATCTAGGAACGCAAAATAGGGCCATCCACACTATTGGTCAGCACACTGCCAACATAACGAGGTGCGATGTGTCTTACCTGTCGAATACAGCACAGGGTGATATGCCTGTCCACTATTGTCTCGGAACGATGGAAACCCATGATATCGGCGCACTGCTTCATGAAGAGGCTCAAGGGACGGTAGAACTCTTCTCTTTTTTCAAGTTGGGCGCGATAGCACTCCAGATGCATGCACAGGCCGGCCATCTCTTCAGACCTGGCGGCCCCAAATGTGAAACGGCTTGCTATTGGGCAAGTGTGAAACTTCCCACAAAAAATAGTACCAGATGAAATCGTTTCTTACGTGCCCTCGGGGTGGGAGTGAGGAGGTAATTCTTTTTCTAGACTGGATCCATAGTCAACACATCAGAACGAAAGAGATTTTATTGCAAACGCGTTACTGCCAAGTTGACAAACACTAGATTATTCAGGAGGCCGGCTGTGTCTGCTCTGTCTGACACGGTCACCTAGGCTGAGTCGGATGCAGCATTCAGGCAGAAAGACAGATACACTTCATAAATCTGATTTCTCTTCTGGCAACACGCTTGGTTTGCCATTGCGCCACCGACACCGGTTAAGACGGATGGTGGAAAGACAAAGAATTTAAGTAAAATAAAGATATTGCCTCCTCATAAGATAGGCTTTGGAGTGTGCCCCTCCCACCCTCCATCGAGGGAATTACACCTCCTGATGGTTATACACCACATTATTCTATCTACCTTCCTGGCCCTAGTCTTGGTAAAGTACATAGGCTCACAATGTCTAGCGATAATTGTTCGACTGCCTCTTCTAAATGTATGGTCCCTGGGGTGTGACCTAGTGCATGGTACGTTGGCACTTGATTAAACAGTGCGCTGTACTGCGGCAGCCAGTAATGGTTTTCTACTTTTGGGGGTGTAATTTTAGTTTTCTGTTAACTACTATTCTTTTTCAGGTGAATGTTGTGAAAGAGGTATTTTGAACTAAATTTCTCCATGGAAACAGTGAAGAATACTTTCTTCTTTTTCTGTTCCTTCTTACAACAACGCCCCCATCCCTCGCCCTCGTTTTTCCTTCTGCAGAAAATCGACTTGTTTTTGTTATATCGTTTCTGATTTCTGTTTATTTACTTTTCTGAAAGAGTAAACATCGACCAAATGGGAATTATTTAGTGCGAGTGCGAGACTACTTCTACACAACAACGTTATGCACGACACATTACACAAAAACACAAACAGATACAGGCACGCACAAACAGCAATTACTTTGAAGCTAGCTTCAGGTTAGCTGCTCTGGTCTGTATAATCTGGATAAACTGCTGCTCGTCTTTCCTCGCCTTGTCCACCAGCTGGCTGTTCATGCCCACCACGTCCTCCAGGAAGTTGGCCTCGCCCTCCTCCACCACCTTCCAGCGAGACTTCATGGACTCCTTCACCGATCTTGGTGAAACGGTGAGACGTTGTTTTAGTAAGCGTCTTACGGTACTTGCAAAACAAATAGGTCATACAAGTGCTAAATAGTTGAGGTGTTACAAGAGAATAACAGAGAATAAAATGGTTTGGCCACCTGTTACGTATGTCACCTAGCCAGCCAGCGTCGAGAGCTTATAACATCATGCACTCAGGCTATAAAGGAAGAGGAAGGCAGCGCAAAAAGTGGATTGAGGGTGTCAAGGAAACCTAAAGAAATCATAATATCCCAACTAAAAGAGATGCAGAGCTGGTCTACCATAACAAAGTGCCTCTCCCCTCGAAGCTTAACGGCAACAGAGGATGAACAAGTAAAAAGTAAAGTACACAAGAATAACAGAAAAAGATGAAGGGAAGATAAGGACGAACTATATTGGTTAGGAAAGAAGTGGTAAACAACAAAAGAGCACCACAAAACACCCACACGGCGAGAGGGGAAATCATTTCTAATACTATAAGAAATAATACTATACAGTGACAAATTGTACAGGTTTTATTGTGTGTTTGTTTTTGGCTTTTTATGTATTCAGACAGAAGGAAAAGCTTTGATGGGTGGGATCTTTCCCCGCCCCCTTAGTTTCAACTCACACTGTCTGTCTGTCTGTCTGTCTGTCTGTCTGTCTGTCTGTCTGTCTGTCTGTCTGTCTGTCTGTCTGTCTCACTCCCTCCCTCTCTCCCTCCCACCCACCCACTCCCTCATCCACCAACCCACTCACCCACCCACTCACTCACTTACCCACCCACTCACTCACTCACTCACACACCCACTCCCTCCCTCGCTCCCCTCCTCCCTTCCTCACTGACCCACCAATTCACTGATTCACTCACCCAGTGCTCTATGTGAAGCGTGCACGGCGTGCGGGGGACCGGGCCCTCTGTCCTGGGCTGGGGGATCGGCTGCGGAAGCGACTGGGGCTAAGGGATCGGGCGATCGGGGACAGGGCTCTGACGGGGCTGGCGGCGCGGGCGGGGCTACGGGCTCGTCGTGGGGAACCCTGGACGCCAATGGAATGGAGAGAGACACGAAGAAAAAGTTTTGTTTAGTTTTAGTAAAAGAGTTTTACGGCACTTACAACCCAATAACGTCGTATAAGTGCCGAAGATTAAAGGTGTTACAAGAGAGTGACAAACTGAAAAAAAGGGATGTTTATTTTAGTAAGAGTTTTACGGCACTTGCAACAAAATAAGGTCGTGTAAGTGCCGAAGATTAGAGGTGTTACAAGAGAGTAACAAACACAAAAAAGAAGGAGAGATGAGAACAATAGATGTTTGATAGGAAAGAAGGAGCAAACCACACCAGAGCACCTGCCAACCACCCACCAAAAAGTTTTGTGTGAGCTTTGTCTGATTAGAGAGAAGCAAATCACTTCAATGAGTGTCATTTAGAGCTGGGAAAAAGGATAAGATAGACAGACAGAAACAACCAGGATAAAC